CGACATTTTCATAAGCAAACTTGTCTGCAAAGTGACACGCACTGAAAATTACTCTTGTATCTTGATTTTCGCTCTGTTTTTTGAAAACACTGGCCCAAATTGCTTCAATGTTTCACCATTGTTGCGTTTGCTCTTCTTGCCTTTTCGGCTCCGTGATATTTGCATGAGAAGTTGTTCGTGATTCACTGATAGTAACATTATTTCACAGACCATGAATAAAACATCATCGCTCCATAAGTGAAACATGATAGTAACTAATTCGCAATCGCATAAAAGCCACCTTATGCCTTTTGATGGATAAGTTATGGGTGAAAAATGTTGCATAAGGCATAAGGTGGGCTGATAGAGAAAATTTGCCAGCGCCGCTGAAGGGGAGGAGGGTGGGGAAACTTGCTTGTCCGTTGTAGAGTAGACTTGCGAGAAGACGGTGAATTTGTTTGCTAGGGCGTATAAAAGGCCTAGAGAATTTCCCTGGGGACCGTAAAGGACCAATAGACTGCTTCCTGAGGGAGCACGCAGTAATCTAGTTGATTAAATCGTCACGCGGCGGCTTTTATAAGAATGAGAATAGTAACTAATTCGCAATCGCATAAAAGCCACCTTATGCCTTTTGATGGATAAGTTATGGGTGAAAAATTTTGCCCGACACCAGGGGTGCTATAGACTCACCCAAAAGACGGTAAATTATTGCAGAATACCTCATTAACTTGCAGTACAGCCAAATCTCCCCGAAACTCAGAAAAACCCAGTAAAACTCCCTTAGAGAGATGGGCAGTGTTGGCGTAATGCCTCCCAGATGTGACGGACTCAATTGAGGGGAGTGGCCCGGCCCAACTGTGGGGCTTTCCCTCCCGGATACGCTAAAGGAAAGCTGAAGGGTGACTTGCAGCATGTGTAACCCGGTTAGAGAAATCCGAATGGGAGGAGATAAAAAGAAGGAAAGACCCTGCGAAAGAGGGAGGCTGGGAGGGAACCCCACAGTTGAGTCGAGTCAGGACACCGTCCGAAGACTGGATGAGGGGTGTGTTTAGGAACCCCCCCTGAGCACGACTCAAGTGTGGGGTAAGGAAATATAGGAAGCAAAAGCCAAAGAAAAATATAATATACAAGGAAACTCGTGCAAATTTATTAAGGCTGTACGCTAGAGTAAAGAGAATGTGGTTACTGATATCTAGGAGTTACGTCACCTTCTGTTTCTGCTATGTGACCTCTAAGATCACAAGGGTGATAGGTGAAGAAGAATAAAGACAATATAAAAAGTGAGACTTCTCAAGGAAACAGCTGCGAGGGAGCACGGAGTTGCTGACAATGCAATGTGCAGAAATTATACAAAATGTTGACAATACAATGAGTAGGAAACGAACGGGAAAAATAAACAACTGGCCACGTTATTCTAAAATCTTTCAATACATACACGTAAAATGCCATAAAGCATCAAAGACTGTAGACCAAATGTACGATGGACGGTCGCGAAGTAAAGCCAAAGATGTCTGTTCGTCATTGTACGTTTCACAGACGTCAAAGGGCACCAACGAAATTAAAAACATGCCACCGAACTGCGTTGGTGAGATCTTCGTTTTCGTTTCACAAACGCTAAGAAGCGTCAACGTAATGTCTATCCCTTGATCGTACGTTTCATAGACGCCAAAAGGCGCCAACGTAACTGATTAAAAACATGCCACTGAGTAGAGCTGCTGGGATCCTCCTTTACGTTTCACAAACGCTAAGAAGCGTCAACGTAACGTCTTTCTCTTCATTATAAGTTTCACAGACGCCGAAGGGCGCCAACGTAATTAAATACATTCCACTGAACTGCACTGTTGAAATTCTCCTTTACGTTTCACAGACGCCATGAAGCGCCAACGTAAATATGTTCCGGCTCGTTTTCGTTCTACTGTAACAGACGCAAAAGACGCGACAATAATCAAATAAAGGCCGCCTTACCTCTGGTACGTTGCACAGACGCCTAAAAGCGCTAACGTAAACAAACTCCAGAGCAGAATGGTGAAAAAGATAAACGCCACGTATGTGACAAATTGACAAGAAAAGGGAGAAGCGAGAAATGAAAACATGATACTTAGGTGGATGGTGTTGGTGCTGGTTGAGGTTCTTTCGAAGCAATAGCTACCGCATCAGCTGGGTCTGGTTAAACAGGGACGAGAGCCATGAAAGAGCTTCAGCGGCGCTGGTCGCGTTGCGGAAGAATGAAACTTGCTTGCCCGTTGTAGAGTAGACTTGCGAGAAGACGGTGAATTTGTTTGCTAGGGCGTATAAAAGGCCTAGGGAATTTCCCTGGGGACCGTAAAGGACCAATAGACTGCTTCCCGAGGGAGCACGCAGTAATCTGGCTGATTAAATCGTCACGCGGCGGCTTTTATACGAATGAGAATAGTGAACCAAAAATAGCTTCAAGGCTATCGAATGTTTAAATGTTGCCTGGAAAGACAAATGCTGCGTGACATCAAGCAAATGACGTCAAGGCGGATACCAACCGGAAGTTACCGATATATAGCCTCAAACAAATATACATAGACCAGGCAAGTTCGCAGTCGCTCACCACTAAGACCAGCGCGGAAAGCGCGCTTTGGGCGCGACAAGATTATATATCGCTTGCGCGAGGGCACTTCGCTCAGAAACACTACACTTACATAGCGCCGATATCATTTTTTCTATTTTTACCAGCGCATAAGTAGAAAATAAAATACAATAAAAATAAAAAATAACAGTAAATGTGAGCACTAACATTGTAAAAATTACCTAGACTACCAGACTTCCTTCCTAAACGCTTTTGACATACCTCTCTGGTTTCCTCCTCCGTTATTGATGAATGGTAACCAGAATCAGCTCTACTGGAACCGGCGCTGAAAACTCTTTCTGGAAGAGGCAACCACGGCAAGATCTGTACCATGTAATAAAAATTAGTTGCGTTGGGCCAGTTGAACGTGACTTGCTGTTACCCTGTATAAGCTGTGGCTTTGAAATTATGAGGAAAAAAAGGAACAAATGCCATGCAGATTGCACACCCACAAAAAGGGTTGCATGGCTGATTATCCTTCGACATCATTGATTTGGAGGAGTTAAAAATGTAACGACAATTTTTATATATGTATTTAAAAACATTCAGATGGTCTTCAAAATATAGACAACTTGAAGAGTTGTACTTTCTCTCAAGGTAAACAACACCAAGAAAATTACGCGGGCGTGTGAGATAATTGCAAACCGCCTTTTCCTGTTTAACGAAAAAATGAATAGAACAATGGAATGAAGCGCATGAGATACCAGACAGTAAGTAAATCCCCTTAATTAGTTCATGCGGCTAGGTAGGATATGAAATAAAATTAACAATGTCAACGAGTTTAAGAATATTTGCTTTCACCAGAAACAGAGATTGGGTAAACTGACTGCTGACATCTCCACTTATTCATTCATTCGTTTATTTTCTTTTTTTCTTTCACGATGGGACAGCTTTACGCCTGAAGCTGCACTCTGGGAACTACTTTTACTGTTTTTATCCGTTTAAGCCCAAAGTTTACCGGATGGTAGAACTTGGTACTCCAAACAATCGTATGTTTTTTGTTTTTCGATTTTAACGGTTTCTGGCACTGAGCAAAATGACGTCATATGATTGAGAGCAAAATTTTAGGTTTAACTAACAACAACAACAACAACAACTTTATTTGTACTATATATATATATATATATATATATATATATATATATATATATATATATATATATATATATATATATATATATATATATATATATATATATATATAATACTATTACAAATAGAGAGAGTACAGGCTGCCCGTAATAACCATTGAGGGCTAAAGAGATTGGGCAGCCTTATTTAAGTTATTAATAAATGATTTCGTTAAGGGTCAGGTAGACACGACAAACAGCTAGTGATGTAACAAATATATAATGTTTAAATAGCACGACGAGATAGAAACAAATGTGATATAGTTCTTTGAAAAGTTCAGTTGCTTTAGCTGTTACAGCATTTTGAAACGTGCTTATGTTTCTTAAAATTGTAACAGAATGGCAGGAAATTCAAAAATCAAAGCTTAATAACTTCTTAAGCAATTGAGCTTGTCAAAAAAAACACACGATTGTTTGAAATACAAAGTTCTACAAATTTGGCAAAGTTTGAGCTCAAACAGGCAAAAACTGTAAAGGTAGTTCATAGAGCACAGTTTCAGCCGTGAACCTGACCCGGCGTCATGATTCTTCTAGACGGCTAGGCAAAAGTCCTCCCATAATTTAATATGGACTGCTCCTCTTTGGCAACGAAATCAGTCGGCTTGAAACAACGAAGTAGACGTTTAATTTGAAGTGAAAAGAAAGTTCAAATGGTATATGACTGTTACGAAAAATGGAATTGCGTGACTGTTAAACGTGACTTTCTAGAAGGTTCGCGAGAGTTCATAGTTTGTTTATTTTAGGATCTTGTGTAAGCCTTTCTAAAGCGGTATATTTTGTAATCTTTCTATAATTAGACTATTTAGAAAGTTCTAGAATCTTATTGTGAAAGTATATAAGTAGGCTAGTCCAAGTTAAGTTTTAACTAGTTTTCACAAGCGAAGAGAGTTTGACGTTAGTCGTGTTTAGTCAAGTGTGACGAAGGCAGTGTTTATTCGAGTTGGCGGAGGCCGTGTAAGTTTATCAAGTTAAGGTGAAGTTGGCGGAGGCCGTGTAAGTTTAACGAGTTACGTGCTGTTGTGGAGTTTTACTTCGTGGAAACTACGTTCATTTTTGGAATAATTCTTCTTGTTACTGTTCCGACAACCCTGCGTTCAGTTTGGTTTGCAAGCTACCTGTCCTCTAAAAGATTACCCGCGTAACATTGGGGGCCTGTCCGGGAGAGGAATTCAATTGTTTGCCGACTACAGTAACCAGGAAAGGACGGTTCAAGAAAAAGGAGTATACAGAGAAGTAAGAAGAACTGCTACGAGGAAGTATATTGAGTGTGTTTGCCGTGAACTGCTGCTGTGGAAATGGAGAATTTTATACAGATTGGAGAAAAATTCAGATTGGAGGCAGAAAAGCTGCTCGAGTTTGTAGAAAAACAACAAAAGTTAGAAGAAGAAAGAAGGAGGGAAGAAGAAGAAAAAGAAGAAAAACGTCGAAAACTTGAGGAAGAAAAAAGGAGGGAGGAGGAAGAGAAGGTAGAAAAACGTAGACAGAAGAAGAGAGAGAAGACAAACGTGGACAATTGGAAGAGGAAAAAGAAGAAAAGCGTAGGCAGTTAGAAGAAGAAAAGGAAGAGAGACGTCGATTACTTGAGGAAGACAGAAGAAAGGAAGAAGAAGAGAAAGAGGAAAGGCGTAGAAGAGAAGACGAAGAAAGAGAAACTAGGCGGCAAGAACGCGATCTGAGAAAATTAGAGCTGGAAGCGGAACTGTTGAAGCAGAAAGAGGCTATTGAAGTCGCTAAGAGAGAGCATGAACTAGAGCTCGCCCGTCTAGCACAAGGCCGTAACGTCGTCGAACGCGCTGAATTGAGAGAGGATAGGGCCAAGGCAAATCAAGGCCCTCATTTGTCGATTGCAAGGACGACTTGGATGCTTACCTAAAACGATTTGAGAGATTCACAACTACAGCTAAATGGGAGAAGACAGGATGGGCTTCGAAACTTAGTGCTCTTTTGTCTGGACGTGCCCTAGAGGTTTATTCGCGATTATCTGAGGAAGCAGCCCAAGATTATGACCGAGTGAAGTTAGCTGTGGTGAAGAGATACGACCTTACAGAGGATGGCTATCGTCATAAATTTAGAGCATCAAAGCCGGAGGTTGACGAAAGCCCTGAACAGTTTATAGTGAGACTGGATAGATACTTGTTACGTTGGTTAGAGCTGTCGAACACTGAGCGTTCTCTTGAAGGCCTGAAAGATTTAATTGTGAAAGAACAATTTATTGACTCTTGTCCAAAAGAGTTAGCTATTCACCTTCGTGAAAGAGCTCCGGAAACGCTTGTTCAGATAGCAAAGATTGCCGATCAATACTTGGACGCACGCGGAAAGCATCTGTTCAGCTCTGCGAGCAAGAAGCTACAAGTACAGCCCAAGGTGGACGAAACAAAGAAGCAGCAGAATGATTCAACGACAGTAGTGTGTTTCAAGTGTAACGCTCGTGGCCACAAGGCTGTTAACTGCCTATCTCTGGCCAAGAAATGTTTCGCATGTGGCAAGCAAGGGCATGAAGCTAGAAATTGACGCTCAGGTAAACAGAAGTCAGGAGGACAAAATAGAGATGGTCTCCCTGTGCAGCGTGGGCAAGTGAGTGCCGGTTGTTTAGTTCAGCCGCCCGAGGTTAAACCCACAGAAGAAGAAGTTAGAGCCTGTGTTAAGGATGATAAACTGTTGTTAGTCAGTGGTAAGAAGATCCCAATAGTAAGCAATGCCTGCCTTGAACCCTTGTCTGGCGATCGGTTGAAAATGCCTGTTGTAAAAGGAAGAGTGGGAGTGAAGACTGTGGATGTCTTGAGAGACACCGGCTGTAGTGGAATAGTAGTTAAGAAGAATCTTGTGTCTGACGACCAGTTTACCGGTGATTTTAACGTTATGCTGCTCATTGACAACATAGCGAGGAAGGTACCCATTGCAAGAATTACAGTTGATACACCTTATCTCAAGGGGCAAGTGGAAGTGCAGTGTCTCTCAGATGCCATTTACGACCTGATAATAGGTAACGTTCCTGGAGCTAGACCTGCAGACGAAACAGACCCAACTTGGCAAGAAGCATGCGCTGTAACCACGGGAAGTCAAGCTACGAAAGACGGTGAAGTTACCCCTTTAAAAGTACCAAGTTACCAAGAGAGCCCCATTGTAGATAAACAGAAACTTAAACAGATGCAGAGTGAAGATGAGAGTTTGCGGAAGTACTGGGACCGAAGTGATATACTAGTGAAGGGTCAAGCTGAGATTTCTTTTGAGATAAAGAGTGGGATATTGTACCGCATCTACAAACACCCTTTTGTGAATGGTGCTAAGCCTGTGAAGCAAATGATGGTTCCTGTGCAGTTGAGTACTCGAATAATGGAAGTGGCTCATGGATCTATAATAAGAGGTCATTTGAGTATTTTAATACTTCTTAAAAGAAGACGAGTGACAAGATTGAGAGTGTATTTTATTGGTCAGGTATTCAAGGTGATGTAACCCGTTTCTGCAAATCATGTGACGTCTGTCAGAAGACCGTAAAAAGGGATCTGTTCCGAAGCTGCCACTACAGAAGATGCCTTTGATTGATAAACCATTTAAAAGAGTAGCCATCGACCTTGTCGGACCTATCAGTACACCGAGTGAAGAAGGACACAGGTACATCCTGACACTTGTCGATTTTGCGACTCACTACCGTGAAGCCGTTCCTTTGAAGACTATTGACACTGAAACCGTTGCAGAAGCGTTAGTAAATAGCTTTAGTCGATTGGGAGTTCATGAAGAGATTTTAAGTGACCTTGGCACACAGTTCGTCTCTGATTGTATGAAGGATATCTTTAGTCGACTGGACGTTCATGAGGAGATTTTAAGTGACCTTGGCACACAGTTCGTCTCTGATTGTATGAACGAAGTAACACGATTGTTGAGTATCAAGCAGATCACAACCACGCCTTACCATCGTATGTGTAATGGATTAACTGAGAAGTTCAACGGAACAATGAAGCTTATGTTAAAGAGATTGTGTAGTGACCAACCAAGACAGTGGCATCGCTTTATCAACCTTTTGTTGTTTGCTTATCGTGAGGTTCCCCCAAGAGTCTACTGGTTTTTCACCGTTTGAGCCGTTGTATGGAAGAGCCGTTAGAGGTCCGATGACCATTCTTAAGGAGCTTTGGACGAAAGAAGTAGAGGAAACGGAAGTCAAGAACAGCTACCAGTACGTTTTTGAGCTGCGCGAGAAGTTGGAAGAAACCCTTAAACTAGCCCACAGTCAGTTGCGGGAGGAAAGCACTACTAAGATCGCAAGACTAGAGTCAGAAAATTTCAGCCTGGTGAGAACGTTCTTGTGCTACCACCAACTGATCACAATAAGTTGCTGATGCAGTGGAAGGGTCCTTTTGAAGTGCGTTTAGTAGTAGGCCTAAACGACTACAGAGTTAAAGTGAAAGGAAACGAGAAAGTTTACCACGCGAATCTTCTCAAGACGTATTTTGAAAGAGATGAAGCTACAACAGAAGGAGCAGTAGCGGCGGTAAAAGCAGATGATCATTTTAAGGAAGATATGCATTGTGAAATTGAAGAATGTGAAGTAAAGGATGCGGAGGATGATGATAATGCTGATTTCCTAGAGATCGGTGGCTATGATGCTAAGGAATCTGTTGCAGATGTTACCACCGCGTCAGATCTCACTGACGAACAGCGTTCTGAGTTTATGGACCTTGCCAATCAGTTTTCAAGTCTATTTACCGAGGCACCAGGTACCACAGACCTCGCCCAGCATCACATCAAACTTACCTCACATGAACCTGTTCGGTCAAGACTATATCCAGTTCCTTACAGCATGAGGGAGTCGTTGAAGAAAGATATCGCCGATATGATTAAAATGGAAGTTATTAGGGAGTCTGATTCATCCTATGCGTCGCCTGTTGTTGTAGTGAAGAAGAAAGACAATACCAATCGAGTCTGCGTTGACTATCGGAAGCTAAATAAGCTGACTGTCATTGACCCTGAACCTATGCCGACCGCGGAACACCTGTTCCAGAAGCTGAGTGGTGATAAGTTTTTCACAAAGATTGATCTTAGTAAGGGCTATTGGCAAATCACCATAGCCGAGGAGGATATTCCGAAAACTGCGTTTGTAACACCCGACGGTTCCTACGAGTTGTTAAAGATGCCGTTTGGAATTATTAACTCTGCAGCAACCCTGAAGCGAGCTATGAAGAAATTAATTGAAGATTTAGACAACGTCGAGTTTTACTGGGACGATATATTAGTTCATACACGCACCTGGGAAGAGCATATTTAAGCCCTCCGAGAGTTGTTTGCACGTTTATTGAGAGCTGGCATGACTATTAGACCAACTAAGTGTATTTTTGGGGCGAGTAGCGTTGATTTCTTGCGACACCGCCTAGAACAAGGAGTGCTTGGTCTAGACGAAGAGAGTGTAGAGACGATTAAGAATGCGCCAAGGCCAGGTACAAAGAAGCAAGTTCGTTCGTTTGTTGGTTTGGTGGGATATTACAGAGACTTTATCCCTAACTTTGCAGCTATTGCAGCTCCCCTATCGGACCTGACAAGCAAGGGTCAACCAACTAGGGTCGAGAGGGGTCAAGCACAAGAGAAGGCATACCAGACCATCAAGTTTCACTTGACGAATGAGCCAATTCTTCGTCTTTCGGACCCAGTGAAAACGTACTTCTTGCAAACGGATGCAAATAATACTGGAATTGGTGCCGTATTAATGCAGAAGCATGATGAGAAGCTGTTCCCCGTTTGCTACGCAAGCAAGAATTTGTCAAGTGCAGAAAGGAACTATTCTACGATTGAGAAAGAGTGCCTTGCATTAGTCTGGGGTATCAAGAGATTTCATCTTTATTTGTACGGAGTTCCCTTTGTTCTGCAGACGGATCATGAACCCCTAAAGTATATGAACAGTGCTAAGTTTGCGAACGGACGTCTTATGCGTTGGGCTATGTTTTTGCAAAGTTATACATTCACAGTACATTGAAGCCATTAAAGGCTCAGAGAACGTTGGAGCAGATTACTTGAGTAGGGCTGAAGAATAAGTTTAATGCCATTGAACTGCTCCTTATTCAGCAATTTTTCTTGTTTAAAAGAAATTTAGGAAATGTCTTCTGAAAGGGGGTTATGTTACGAAAAATTGTATTGCGTGACTTTTAAACGTGACTTTCTAGAAGGTTCGCGAGAGTTCATAGTTTGTTTATTTTAGGATCTTGTGTAAGTGTTTCTAAAGCGGTATATTTTGTAATCTTTCTATAATTAGACTATTTGGAAGGCTAGAATCTTATTGTGAAAGTATACAAGTAGGCTAGTCCGAGTTACGTTTTAACTAGTTTTCACAAGCGAAGGGAGTTTGACGTTAGTCGTGTTTAGTCAAGTGTGACGCAGGCAGTGTTTATCCAAGTTGGCGGAGGCCGTGTAAGTTTATCAAGTTAAGTGAAGTTGGCAGAGGCCGTGTAAGTTTAACGAGTTACGTGCTGTTGTGGAGTTTTACTTCGTGGAAACCACGTTCATTTTTAAAATAAATCTTCTTGTTGCTGTTCCGAGAACCCTGCGTTCAGTTTGGTTTGCAACTACCCGTCCTTTAAAAGATTACCCGCGTAACACGTTCTTAAGGTCCTTCCTCCTCTCCAAATGAGCGCCCTCCTTAGCTTGTGTGGCAAGCGTTTCCGATCGAGTTATGGCCCGAAAGTTGTTAAGTTGATCGCTCTCGTTCCAATTTTCTCGAAGAATTCGTACGGAAATGCTTGGTACGCAGGCTAATATAATTTAGGAAAATCCAACTAGCGGTCTATTATCAATGCTGCGTTGTGATTGGTTGAGCTACTACTAGGCTATATGTTATGGCCCACTAGTAGCGAAAAGCGTGGGCTTTTTGGCGGCAAAAAAAGATTAAAGTGTAGCTTTAACTAGCTAAGTTTTTTTTATTCTCGATATTTTTGACCAACTAGTTGGATCTTACTAAAACAATTATTCCTCTCGCCCTCATGGGCTCCGAGTCAATAGCCTATTCAGCCGGCTTCGGTCTCATGGGCTATTGACTCAGAGCCCATTCGACCTCGAGGAATAATTACTTCGGCGGAGCGCGAAGTAAAGGTTTCGCGACGCTCAGGAATGTATCAAAGTTACAATTTTTTGACAAGATTGGGCATGCAAAGTCTGTAGGTTTTCGGTTTTATTCGGCTATTTGATGAAGTGAGAGCCGAATTAATTCGAGATATCTCGAGATCACTTCGATTTCTTTGATTTATTCTTTAACTTTTTCGAGGAAGAAAGAATTATTATTTTGGCTTTCCCGGGGTTTGAACCGACTCACCTGTGTGACCCGTCAGATCAGAGGAGACTCTAAGTTGAGGGATTAGCCGATTGCGCTACTGCGACCCAAGGTAGTTTGGGATATGAAAAATAGTTATGAAATGATGCACTAGTTTCGGGACAAGATTGGGCGTGCAAGTTCGTGACTTTTCGGCTTGTTTCAACTATTTCACGAAATGAGACCGGACTACTTCGTGATATCTTGAGATCACTTCGACTTTAGTCTTTAATTACTCGAATAAATAGAGGATATTTCGTGGCCGCGCAGAGACACGAAATTTCTCTTCGAGTGTTGAAAAACATTTCACGAGTGAGCCCTCCTTTCGAACTGTTTTATGATGAATTTAAAGTTACAAAATGCTGCACAAAGACATTTTGTCTTTGTTGAGTGTTACGTAGTAAAATTGCTTTCATGCGTTGCGTGACTTTCTCGAACGTTCTCTACGTTTTTGGATTAGCCATGAATAATTAATTAGGGCATGTTTACATTTCAGCATGAGTCAGCAGATTTGCATCAGTTACTGAAATCATAAAATATGTCGAAAAGCTACTACTATTCGCCTGCCGTTAAGTATTTTCTAGAACCTTATGTCAAACGGTATACAAGTTCCAAGCGCGTTCTTTTGAAGAACTAAGTTTTTTCCCACGAGATGGACTGCTGTGTTTAGTCAAGTGTGACGAAGGTCGATTTTCAGGTATTGTGTTTACAAGTCCGCGGAAGCCGTAAGATATCTGAAGTTCAAGTGAGAGTTTGTTATTATTGGTAGAGGCTGTTTAGTTTTACTCAAAGTTCAAGTCAAGTTTGTGTTGGTGGATGCTGTGTTTTAAAGCTCTGTAAAGGCTATGTTCCTTTGGTGTTAAACTTCCTTGTGTTAATCCGACATCCCTGTGTGCTGATAGTCAGTGAATAATTATCCTCAAAACATTCGAACTCGTGACTTTGAGTTTCAGCCAATTCCATGCTTAACGTAATTGACTCCTTACCCATGCCTTACATATCTTTAATCAGTACATGAGACTGCTATGCTGTTTTTGAAGCCTGATGTGACTAAGAAAAATAGAGATTGTTTTTTTAGAAGGATTTGTATGGAGTCATCAGAGCATAACCGGGCTAATATCTCGGAGACAATTTGTCTAGTTTTTGGCAAGTAGGCCTCTTGGATGTTGCTCTTTTCAGAATATCCTGACAAATCCCATAATTTCACAAATTAACGCCTTACTCTCACCATATTTGATTTCTTACTATTCCTCCGCATTTACAATTAATTAGTTCCACAACCACGACGCCGAAGTGTACGCTCCGTAGCGTCTTGTTGTTAAATATTCGCCTCCATTTTGGAAATCATTTGAAATAAGAAACTGGGCTTTTATTCGAGGAAATAAGGTAATTACAGTGGTATTTTTTGGTATAGTTGTAGCTAAATGAAAAAACTTATCATATAATCTCTTGAGTAATATTTTTCAATCTTCAACCGGCCAACTTGCTTCATGACTGCTTGTTTATATTGCTAGTATTACCCTGTTGGCCATAAAAAAGAAAAAGAAAGAAAAACGAACAACATCTTACTTTCGCAACACCTGCGCTTTTGTCATTCCACCTTGTATCTTCTTCTGGACCTGGGTACGTTGTTTGAGATGAAGTCTCAGTGATACCTGCAATAACAATAACGTTCAACACAAATACAACTTATAACGCCCAGTCAAACATGATTTAAGCAGACATCCTTGGGGAATGCTTTGGTCTTCCTTCAATACATGATGTCTGCCTGAATCAGGTGGAACCCCGGGGATACTCCCTCCCTCAAAGTTCTACTTTCTACACAGGCAGTTTATTTAGCAATGAAACTGCTATCACCATGGGAAGAAAGGCATTTTTCAAAAGTGACAAGTGTACAACTCAGTCAGATGAAAATGGAACAAAAACACGACGGACGAGTACCTTGCGTTGTCGAGCACTGTTCTAATAAGTACTTGGATAGCAACCAAACTTAACAAAAAATGATATCGCTAAAAAGCAGTTTGGCAGCGACTTTATACATTGACTTGCTCCATTATCTTGCGTTATGCTTTAAAATTCCCGCTCGATTACATTGCTATAAAACACTAACAAAGCAATTATTTCAGTTTCTTGTCTAAAGAATAATTGCCCAAGAACTGTGCTAACAGTCCAACTCACCTGACTTTTCCGTAAGAGCTTTTTTGCAAATCAAGTAGTTGTGTTCCTCAATAATGGTCTTTAATCTCACTATCTCCACATTGACTTCCCTCTTTATGTCATCAGTGACTAAAAACCTCTCTGCAGCTTCATTCAGGACACCAGAACAATAGTCATTCCAAAGACTTTCGAGACTTTGCAGGTCGGGGCACTGAACCTTTATTACCAAAGATCCCACACCCACAGATGTTAAAGTAAGGTTGTAAGTATTTTCTAAATGCTTAATGAAGTCACTCAGTCCACTGGCTGTAGAAAGCTTGGTTTTTTTATTGTATTTAAGGTACACTTCAAGTTGTTGTCTTAACATTCTATCCACCACGTCCTCCAGTTCACTATTTAAATCACGGGTGGTGATTGACATCTTTACAGTGTTTGCTGTTTCTGAAAATTATTTATAAAAAGCAAAACTACAAGTTAATTACTGCTTCTTATTACAATTCAAGGAAAAAATAAACTATTTACCGTAATGCATAAGGAAACAGGCTTCTCAACTCGTTGTTGTGTGAAAAAGCATAAGAGTGCTGCTTTTACACAAACAGAGCATTCTTTAGCTATAGCAGAAAGACAACAAATGAAAAAACGGTTGCTTTTTAAATGGGCCAAAAACTTCTAAAGAGTTGATTAATACACGTAAAAAAGTTTGGCAACTTGACAATGTTATTCCATACCTTGGTCAGAAGTGAATCCGGAAGCGTTAGGAGTATGGCAAACAGAGGGAGATCCTTCACTTAATCTGGCTGCCTCCTCAGTATTAATCTTTTGATCAACTGGACATTGCTCTCCAAAGAATCCTGAATTACGTGTTTTTGCAACAGGCTGCTTTTCAGTGACAGAAACATACTTTGCTACATCAGAAGCATCTTCTAGTGTGAGAACAAGCCTTTATTAGAAGCTCCTTACAAAACAATGTATATATATATATATATATATATATATATATATATATATATATATATATATATATATATATATATATATATTTTTGTAACCCATCCACATCGCCACCCATAACCACCCGTGTGGAACCACATCCCATGTAATACTTAAAATAAATTTTGACGGTCAAAGACAACTGTGACTAAATGCGAAGCTCCCATTAATAAATTTATAATTTAAATCAAACAATAAATTTGTCATCCACAAATCAGTTAACTCAAAGGCACATTCATGTGACTCTTGAGGGAAAGGCTAAGTTAATTTAGAGTGAAACATCTTACATCGAGTTGATAGCCTTACTTGTACAGCCAAAAAATAGCAAACATCTTCGATCACATTCAAGAGCCATAATGGCTCTTGATCACAGTAGATTAGGCCTCGAAAACAAATTCTTGGAAAACAAATCAGGCCGAATTTTTTTGCGTTCGACAGGTTTACTTTAGAAAATCTTGCCAACAAATCTGGGAGTGCTGTGCAAAACAAACTTTTATACTTTTCAGTACATCACGTCACAGGCAGCCCAAGCACGCTATGTGTGGGTTCGGGCTTCAGAGGTCATTTGGTCGGAATATACTAGAATTATTAGTGTATTATCTGGTGCCAAATAAATGCAAAAATCTTAAAGAGATGAAGTTTCCTTGTTTGTCTATCTGTACTAGTTGCCTCTAAGATAACGAAGGTCGATATTTCTTGCATTATTGCATATGATTCGGGCCCTTATTGTTCGAATTTTATCACATGTATTCGAATCTACGACGCAAAGAAAAAAAATCATGATCACACGAAATATTGATTCAAAAAGCTCCCTTACCTTTAGTTCATAGCCACTCTGTGTCCTACGGCCGGTTAAACGCCGTTTAGTCAACTTTCTTTCCATCGAGTACTGAACACTAACCGGCCGTAGGACACCGTGTTTAAATGAACTTTAATAGAGTTACGCTTCAACATAATAACGAATTTATCATTATTATTTTTTGTTATTTAATGGTTTCAGTTATAACGATGTGTAGTCTTATAAAGCGTTTGATACCCGCGACATTTTTGAGTACTCCTGCAAGCGATGTTCATGAACGATGACAACAAACGGCACGGACAAGCAGAGACTACTAACAATCAATAAAAGAAATGTAATTAGGCGAAACATTTACAGAGACAACAATTTTCATTCACGAAGACAAGTATTAAAGTGTCTCTAAAATCCTGAGTCTTTCGAACTGTGAGCTTAAAGCTTAAGCTTAAGTTAATTATGTTTTACTTTAAGCCGGCCTCCCTGTGTTTGCTTTTTTCAAAGATGAAGTCCTCGAAGCAAGAAAATCGCTCAAAGTTTTCTTTCTACAACCAAATTTATAACTAAATATTCTTCGGAACGTTTTCTTTCTATTTGCGGTGAGAAAATATATCTGAAGGCCTTTTAAAGTTCTGTAAGCTTATATCAAACCTAGGTCAGATCATTGACTCAAATCTTACAAACTTGTATAAACTTGCCGCATAAACTGTGCTCGACTTCATGAAATTAGATATAACAAAAACAAACATCAAATACAATAATTACTCAGGCTTACCATTGAGATTCAGTTTCTGAAAGCTATCAAGGAAGGCCACAGTTGCTTGAGACTTTTAAACCCTGTTACGCATTAAGCAAGATGAAAAACGAAAACGATGCCATCCGAAATCGGATTACCGAATTTTGACAAGCGACGCATTTCTTAACCAAAATCCCAATAAACAAACCAGCCATGAATAACAGAAGACTCTTGATAGCAGCTGTATTTCATTTTGTAAATCCAGTGGAAAAAGACAGTTAAAAAACATCCATAGTTAACACAAAATTGTGTCAGCTTCAGCTGTCAAAGTAAACTACTTTCAAGATGCTGCATAAATTTTCCGCATGAACTCACCTATCAATCAGAGCATAAAAATTGGACGTAGAGCGTGACCAACGCGTGACCATGGTAAGAAAAGATATTCCCCGCCTGTACTTTAACAAAATTGGCTGAATTTTTGCGTCGGAGGTCAGTTTGAAATCAAACTCTTAACAGTGCGGGGCAATAGTGACATAAACACAACATACAGTCAAACCTCTTTAATACGGACACCAAAGGGACAGAACCAATTGTCCGCTTTACAGAGGTGTCCGTATTATAGAGGTAGGGAATGTATGATTTTTGGCATTTCTGGGACCAAACGAACTGTCCGTAATAGAGAGGTGTCCGTATTATAGAGGTGTCCGTAAGGAGAGGTTAGACTGTATTTTATATGAATCATCGGAAAAAATAAACTTGAGCCTGCGATCATTTGAAACTGGTAATTTGTCAGCGGATAACTTCAAAAATACTCGACCTCGATGGGTGGACACTTGAGCCCGCGGTACGGTCAGGTGATACTGGTCAGTGGATACCCTGTTTTGACAGCTGTCAATTGATCACAACATTGATTTGCAATTAGTTTTCTCTTGGGCTCCCAAACTAGCTGGAAAGTGTGAGAGTAAACATTGGTTTCCCTGTGGTGCGGACGGACGCTCGGTCGCTTCGGTGTACGGTCACGTGAAAATTGCCAAATTTTCAGGGATGGGTAGATTTGATTAGCTATGGGCCGCGCCGCGCGTGGAGCTCCGCTATGAAAAAAATAAAATATTCTGGGACAATACGTACATGTACTAAATTTGCAAGGAGAACTGATAGTACCTGCATATACACTCGATAATGTGGTCAAAGAACTTGTGCTTGTGAAAGATTATCGCTGCACTCTTACATTTGCAGTGTGCCACGAAAAACTATAATATATAGATTTAGCCAGGGCTAAAAGCGAAGCTCCAATTAATAAATTTAATATATAGATTTAGCCAGGGCTAAAAGCGAAGCTCCTATTAACTCGAATTTATAATTTAAATCAAACAATAAACTTGCAATTGTATTTTACAAATCAGTTAACTTTAGAGCACATTCATGTGACTTTTGAGGGAAAGGCTAAGTGATTTTAGAGAAAAATAATTTGCAAACAGTCCAAGCTAAGAGTGAACTTAATCTTACATCGAGTTGATAGCCTTATATGTACACCCAAAAAATAGCAATCATCTTCGATCACATTCAAGAGCATAATGGCTCTTGATCACAGTAGATTAGGCCTGGAAAACAAATTCTCGGAAAACAAATCAGGCCCAATTTTTTGCGTTCGACAAGTTTACAATTTATTTTACAAAATCTTGCTTACAATTCTGGGGACGTGTAAACCAACCTTTAATACTTTTTATCTGAGGTGAAACACTACCATGAGGCACTGTTTTTATCATACAGACCTCGGACAGATCACAATTTTGCAATAAAAATTGTACTCATTCAACATTCAGGTCGATCGAAGCACGCGTAGGCTTTTACCGAAACCGTTAAAAAAATTTCTAAAATCACCTATACGGCTTGCCGGTTCTCACTTTTGACAAGCGCCAAAGCCCACTGTTTAAATCAAGATTAATAGAGTTATACGCTTTAACATGATAAAAAATTTATATGTTTATTTCTTTATTTAACGGTTTTATAACTATGTGTAATCTTCAAAAGCGTTTGATAACGCGGCATTTTGACTACTCCTGCAAGCGATGTTCGTGAGCGACTGAAAACAAACGGCACAGCGATTAAAATTGCAAAAGAGACTACTAACAACCAATAAAAGGATAATAATTGGGTGAAACATACACAGAGACAACAATTTTCATTCACGAAGACAAGTAAAAAGTGTCTCTGAAAATCCTTGTTTATGTTTTAAGCCGGCTTCCCGGCGTTTGCTTTTTTCAAAGATGAACTCGAGGCAAGAAAATCGCTCAAAGCTTTCTTTTACAGCCAGAATTATAACTAAATATTCTTTGGAACGTTTTCTTTCTATTTGCAGTGAGAAAATGTCTAAAGGCTTTTTAAAGTTCTGTAAGCTTATAATCAAACCTGATACTTGGTCAGATCGATCATTGTCTCAAATCTTACAAACGTGCATAAACTAAATAGCCGCATAAACTACGCCCGACTTCATTAAATTCGATATAAAAAACAAACATCAAATACAATAATTACTCAGGCTTACCATTCGAGATGCTCTGAAAACTATCAAGTAAGGCCAGAATCGCTTCAGACTTTTCAACCCTCTTACGCATCAAGCAAGGTGAAAAACGAAAACGATGCCATCCGAAATCTGATTTCCGACTTTGACAAGCGACGTATTTCTCAACCAAAAACCCAATAAACAAACTAGCTATGAATAACAGAAGACTCTTGATAGCAACAGAATTTCATTTTGTACATTCAGCGGAGAAAGACAATTAAAAAACATGATCACAAGTTGACACAACTCTGTCAGCTTCAGCTGTCAAAGTAAACAAGTTTCAAGATGCTGCATAAATTTTCCGCATGAACTCACCTGTCAAATTTTGACCAATCAGAGCGTAAAAAATGGACGTAGAGCGTGACCAACGCGTGACCTTGTTGAGGAAAGTCAAAAGCAACTGGCATGTCTTCCCTGCCGGTAAAAACTGGCTGAATTTTAGCTTCCGAGGTCAGTTTGAAATCAAAATTTTAATTCTGCGACACATATAAAACACAACATATTTCATATGAATTTTAAAAAAAATAAACTTGAGCCTGTGATCATTTGAAAACTAGTAACTTGTCAGCGGATAACTTCAAAAAGATACTCGACCTCGAAACCTGAGCCCGCGATACGGTCAGGTGATACTGGTCAGCGGATACCCTGCTTTGACAGCTGTCAATTGAACACAACATTGATGTACAATATACGTGCAATATCAGTCTTCCTCTGCTACCAAACTAGCTAGAAACTGTGAGATTGAACATTGGTTTTCCTGTGGTGCGGACGGACGGGCGGGCGGGCTGCGGGCGGTGTACGGTCACGTGATTACCAAATTTTCTCGGATGGGTAGATTTACTTACCCATGGTGCTCCGCAGGCGCGCTTCGCGCGCCAGAGCTCCGCTATAATTTAAATCAAACAATAAACTTTTAATCCACAAATCATTTAACTTAAGGGCACATTCAGGTGACTTTTGAGGGAAAGGCTAAGTTATTTTAGAGTGAAACATCTTACATCGAATTGATAACCTTATATGTACACCCAGCAAATAACAAACATCTTCGATCACATTCAAGATCACAGTAGATTAGGCCTCGAAAACAAATTCGTGGAAAACAAATCACGCCGAATTTTTTTGCGTTCGACAGGTTTACTTTGCAAATTCTTGCCAACAAATCTGGGGGTGTTTAAACCAACCTTTTATAATTTTTATACATCACATCTGAGGTGAAACAGTACTATTCATCATACAGACCTAGGACAGAATGCAGTATTTCACAAATTTTCAAGACAAATTGCACTCAGTCAATATTCAGGACGATCAATCGTAAAGGGAAACCGTTCAAAAATTTCCAAAATCACCCATATGGCCAGCCGGTTCTCGTTTCTATAGTGCGAGCTGTCAGTGTGGTCGAGTGTTTGAATGAACTTTAATAGAGTTAAGCTTCAACATAATAGCGAATTTATTATTATTTTTTTGTTATTTAATGGTTTCAGTTATAACGATGTGTAATCTTATAAAGCGTTTGATACGCGCGACTTTTTGAGTACTCCTGCAAGCGATGTTCATGAACGATGAAAACAAACGGCACAGACAAGCGATTAAAATTGCAAAAGAGACTACTAACAATCAAAGAAAGAAATATAATTCGGTGAAACATTTACAGAGATAACAATTTTCATTCATGAAGACAAGTATTAAAGTGTCTCTAAAAATCCTGAGTCTCGGCGTGAAGCTTTATAAGCCGGCTTCCCGGTGCGGGTGTTTACTGTTTTCCAAGGTGAACTCCTCGAAGCAAGAAAATCGCTCAAAGTTTTCTTTCTACAGCCAAATTTATAACTAAATATTCTTCGGAACGTTTTCTTTCTATCTGTGGTGAGCAAATATATCTGAAGGCTTTTTAAAGTTCTGTAAGCTTATATGAAACCGTTCAAACCTGATACTAGGTCAGATCATTGACTCAAACTACGGCTACAAACGTGCATAAACTTGTCGCATAAACTGTCAGCGTGAACTGTGCAAGACTTCATGAATTAGATATAACAAAAACAAACATCAAATACAATAGTTACTCAGGCTTGCCATTCGAGATTCAGTTCCTGAAAGCTATCAAGGAAGGCCACAGTTGCTTGAGACTTTTAAACCCTCTTACGCATTAAGCAAGGTGAAAAACGAAGACGATGCCATCCGAAATCGAATTACCAAATTTTGACAAGCGACGCGTTTCTCAACCAAAAACCCAGTAAACAAACCAGCCATGAATAACAAAAGTCTCTTGATAGCAGCTGTATTTCATTTTGTACATCCAGAAGAAAAAGACAGTTAAAAACATCACAAGTTGACACAAAACTCTTCAGCTTCAGCTGTCAAAGTAAACAACTTTCAAGATGCTGCATAATTTTTTCGCATGAACTCACCTGTCAAATTTTGACCAATCAGAGTATAAAAATTGGACGTAGAGCGTGACCAACGCGTGACCATGGTAAGATAAGGTCTTCCCCGCCTGTACTTTTAAAAAAACTGGCTGAATTTTCGCGTCCGAAGTCAGTTTGAAATCAAAATCCTAATAGTGCAGGGCCATGGTGACATAAACACAACATATTTGATATGAATCCTTGGAAAAAATCAACTTGAGCCTGCGATCATTTCAAACTGGTAATTTGTCAGCGGATAACTTCAAAAAATACTCAACCTCGATGGGTCGGCACTTGAGCCCGCCCTACGGTCAGGTTATACTGGTCAGCGGATGCCCTGTTTCGACAGCTGTCAATTGATCACAACATTGATGTGCAATTAATTTTCTCTTGGGCTTCCAAACTAGCTAAAAGTGTGAGAGTAAACATTGGTTGTCCTGTGGTGCGGACGGACGGTCGGTCGGCGGTCGGCGGTCGGTGCACGGTCACGTGATTACCAAATTTTCTGGGATGGGTAGATTTACTAAGCTATGGGGCTCCGCCCACGCGCGCGCGAAGCGCGCGCGTGGAGCTCCGCTATTAGAGAAATGTCTGGTACAACATAATTAAATACATCTGCAATTAACTACTGACTCTTACCTTGACCCATTCTCTGTATTCTGTTAACAAGGGCTTCACATTGTTCCTTCCAACTGTACATCTCCCCATAAGATGCTCTCAGTGATTTTATCTCTTGAAGCCTCATTCCATGCCTGATACGAACTGCTTCCACTGCTCTTGCCCATTCTGCAGGGTCATCTGAATTCACGATGCATGAAAAACCAATCGGAACATTCTCTAATGCTTTGGCAAATCCTGACCTACTGCTTACAAGAATGGGTAGCCCCGCCGACAAGGCCTCAAGGGCAACAAGACCAAATCCCTCTGATTTTGACGGCATTATGGCAAGATCAGCTTCGCACAGCAAATCTTTTAGTCTCTCTCTACTTTGTATAAATTTTCTAACAGTCAACTGTGCTTCTGCAATACCACGCCGTAGAAGTTTTTCTCTAACTTCTTCTTGCTTTCCTTCAGGTGCTCCAACAAAGATTAGATGATAAGGTTTGTTTTTTAACCGTTGATCAGTAAATGCCTTAGCAGCAATGTTGTATCCTTTGAGTTCGAAGTCCTCATCATCCCCACGACCAAATAACAACACTTTGAATTCACCATCCTCGTTAGGATCTTGTTTTGCAACTAAATCCCCAAACTCCCTTTGAAAAAGACCTGGAGTAATAGATAAAACGTCTTGATCTGTCTTGCATCGCTGTAAATATGAAGTATATGCTTCTTTCAGTTTGGGTCCCACAGGCACAACAAGATCAGCAAGTTTGCAAAGTTCAACTTCTGATTCATGTTTTGTTTCACCTTTTGAAATGGGGTCACTGTAACATTTGTATCTGCTAAGGTCCTCTGGAGCAGTGTGAACCACTTGTACCCACTTACAATTTGGAGATTTAGCAGAGTCTCTAATGAATTGTACCTGCCGACCAAGCTTTACACCATGGCCAACAACGATGTCCATGACATGATCCTTGGGTGGTGAGGTTAACCAAACAAGACGATCAAATGCAGCACGTCTCTTCGCCTCAACGACAGTGATTCCATAGGTATGGGCTTCATTTTTTTCTTCATGATTGCAAGCTCCCTCGGGGACTAACAAAGAAACATTCACTGCTGAATGACTTGAAAGGTGAATAGCAAGCTCTCTGTTTATGGTTGACAACCCACCAGCAGATGACCTCCACTCACCACCAAGAAGAGTAACATGTAACGCTGGAACACTGGTCTCAGGAGAGCAAGCCTACAAAAACATGGCAATAACAGTGAATCGCTAGGAGATCTTTGGCTCAAAAGACATAGCAGGTTTGGTAACTGATGACTGTTTTAGTACATTGTAAACTGTTGGCTCTTCTGTTCTAATAATAATAATAATTATAATTATTATTATTATTAAATCTTTTTAGGGATAGCTGAAACTAACACCATGGGTGGTGAATTACTCCTTAATTTTGGCACAAAATTTCATCGTTAATTTATAATTTTACAGATGAAATTACAAAATTGCCATGGCAACCTTGCGCGTACGTATCAGTGCTAAGATGGCAGCAAAGTGAAGACATGATATGGCATTAAAAGACGCTTTGGAAAACCTAAACACACAAAAGAGCACATCAAGAAGGATTCTATCAGGTATGTTGTTGAAAAATTCTGAAAATTCTGAACTTAAATAAGCCAAAAATTTAAGCTCTAACATGTTCATTGCATGGAGTTCTTCACTGATCATCAATTCGATGAACACTGTCAAAAACCTATGATTGTGATCATAATTTGCCACCCATGATATTAATAGATAACAAAGACGAGGAGGACTATTAGGATTTCGACAAAGTGCAAGTGGAAATATTCCCTAATTTCACTACTCTTAAATAAAAAAATTATCACCATGATAATTGTATTTCTAACTCTTTACATTGATCCCTTGTCATCTAAAACTAATAAGACAATGATTAAGTTTCTTACACATTACTTGCAGGGTCTTGGGCAAAAAGAGAGCTTACATGTATATGGAAACATTTAGTTGGGAAGAAAAGTACCTTCTTACATTTATAAGAATCTATTGCATGTAAGTCATCAATAAGTGATGTCTATATTAATCAAGATCAGTGTTAATGGACTAGCATTAAAAGGTAATTAAACCTTATTTAAATAGTGCACCAGTCACGGAAAAAATGAAAATGAAAGAAAACAAATTAATAGCAATTTAAACAAAAATTTGTTTTATATAATCAACTAAGTTGATACAATAAATAAATAAATAAGCCCCTTATTAATTTCAAAAAAAACATAATTCCAGATTAAATTCACAAATATTATATAAAATTGAAAAGACACCTATCGATAAAACACCGCTGTTTAAAATGTTCAGTCTTAATTTGATGAAGTACATTAAAGAGTGACTGCGATTCCTTAGCAATCTTGTTTTACTGGGTGGGAGGAAACTGAAATGCCATAGGTAGGAAGAGGTATAATCAGACCATGGAAGAGATCTAGACTATAGCCATCAATATTTCGAATTTACAGTTTTGTTTGAGAGTTTCAGAAATGAAGGATTCCTTTTAAATCCAAAGGAAAAATGTTACAGTTATGATAGTAACAAATATGCCAAATTCAGTGGATTGCAAATATTAATTTTGTTACTTTATTTATTTATTTTTTTTATAAAACACTTAAACTTCAATTAGGTGCATACATACGTGACCATAAAAATAGATTAAAGTTGACTACAAACAGACAATGCATTTAATGATAAATTTCTTGTACCTTGTGTACTGAAGGCACCCATCGGTCGATATGTCTGCTCACTGTCAGTCAATATGTTGACCAAGTCTTGGTCAATATTGGTTAACATTAGTCAACAAGTAGACCATGTCAGACAACATGTCAGCCGACATATCAACACTATAGTATAATTTGAATAAAATATAGCATAATTTAGTAAAAATAATTAAGAAAAAGACTGAACCTCTGAATTGTCCAGACTCCGTGTTGCTTTCATGGTCTCTGAGGATGATCAAATGAGGCAGCCATGACTAATGAATAGAGGGAGAATACATATAAGTCCTTGCTGTTATAAGTAACATATTAATCACACTGCCTGCAACACTTCAGATTATAATGATGAGACTCTCTCATGTCAGCGTTGTAGTTAAGCCAAGCTATTTATCCAGTGAATAGTGGTATGAATCACCATTTAAATGAAAGGGTTGGACTAACAGGCCTGACATTAGGTAAGGATTTGTAGATTCTGTTGACACTGACAAGGCAAACACAATATTATAGATGCCAACTTACCTATGCACTTCTTCTATAGGATTGACTCTCGCCTACTTTTTGTTTTTAAGGGGTAAACAACAATATTGTTCACTGCAATTGGGTAGGACTGAAATGATCCAATTGGTTTAAATACATGTCTCCTGTCTTTTAAGTGCCTGTCCTATCCTATAGACCTTTCCTGTATTCCTGTAAACAAAGGCATCAACTCGAGGCTCGGGTGGACAAAGTGTGGTGATTTGTACGAAATTGTCCACCCAAGCCTCGTCCTCACTTCTTTATCTTTGCTCACTGGAGCATAATGAGGGAAAGGTCTATGGATGTTTAGTCTGTATCATTCCTCGCAAAAGCAAGTTATAATCTTGTCACGTGCCATCTTGGTGGCGAGCAATCTTGCCTGGTCCATGAATATTTGTTTGAGACTGTATATCGGGCATTATTCCAGTTGGTATCCCCCTTGACGTCACCCAGCATTTGTGTTTCCAGGCAACTATTTTTGGTGCACTATCATGTTTCATTCATGAACGGCTGATCTGTGAAATAATCTTTACTCGGTGAATCACGAGCAAATCAAGAGCAACTTCTCTTGCAAATATCACGGAGCCGCAAATGCAAAAATACTGGAAGATTGAAAAAAAAAAGAGCAAAAATCAAGATACAAGAGCAATTTTCAGTGCGTTTCACTTCGCAGACAAATTGTTTGCTTATGAATATGTCACGTTACGTTTCTCAAACGTGCATTATGGTTTGGCTTTTTAATTACCCTCGAAACCTTGTCCTTTTTCAGCCTGAAGTCTAGTTTGGAATTCATTATAATAACACCACACAATATGCAAAAAACAAGAAGAAGTAAAGAAAGAAAAAATATGGACCTTCACGACAATATTTGCTGAGGATCACCCATCCAGTTCCTAACCCCGCCCGACAGGGCTTAACTTGAGTGCCGCTAAATTAAGTTTCCCAAGGGTTATTGCGAGATACATATTTCTAGTATATGAAATAAGTGTAGGTTGGCATGCAGCTGCAAAAACATCAAAATTTGCAAATAATTGGAAAATTCAATGAAATTGAATCAGTGAAAAGCAGTTAATGAGGAGGTTAGGAGGACTCCAACTACGTCTGTGATTTTTGTGAAAAATGGAAAATTTTCAAAAATTGGGGAAACATGGCTAAACAATTTCAAAGTTGCTTCAAGCCTCCATTTTAAAGCAACTAACTGGGAAACCGCTGATATAAAAACGATTTTTTATTTTCACGCAAATAAAACTCATTTTCACAAGAACGGTTTTGCACTTAGCCTCCTAATTAGGAAGCAGGATATAGCTTGAAACATTTCAATGCAGGGAAAGGCGTTGCATCTTGGGGCCAATTAATTGCCCTTAATAATTAAAAAGCTCCTGTACTCTTTAATTTCTAAACACATAAGCTTACTGTGTAAGTCTTGATTCCTTGATGCCAGTTCAAACAGACGTTCAAAGCCGGAAGTGAGTTGATCGTATGATTTTCTCATCATAATACAATAAAAACATTAACACTTTTCATCTCGGTTAAAGTTGGTTAAAGTTACAAGTTACGGTTAAAGAAGATTTCATTAATATTGAAGGGAGAAATCATTTTTCTTGGACTTCTTTATAAGTTGGAGCTGCATTTTAAGGATAGCTACATGCGAAAATTGCGCATTAAATGCAACATTGCTGCACAGTCATTAGTTAAAGAGGATACTTAAAGGAGAAAAAAACAGTTGATTCAGAGACAAGAATCCTTACCCTGCTATAGCTACAGCTTCGTTTCTCGCTTTTGACGTCCTTCCACTAGTTTTACCTCCTCTAACACCGCCCAAGTCAGACCGACACCGCCATTCTCCAGCATTCGCTACCATCAGGAATGTGTCTGTGTATGCCACATAAAATGTCCTGTCAAAAAAGCCACGGAGCGACCCAAGGGTGGAAGGGTGGAATGAAATCACCCCAGTCCTAAATCGCGCAACGGCGGAAAATTCACCCACATTCTAGAACGCGTAATATTAAAAAGAACGAAAGAAATGAAGAGGAGAAAGTATGGAGACAGGGAGTACGCGTGCTGGCGTGGCGAATTTTATTGCCATCACAGTTTTTCTTCTCTTTTCTTTTTTTACTTGCCTTTTGAACTGAAGTTAAGCCGTCATCCAGACTCATCGATATCAAATAATGAAATGGAATAATCTGGTTCATTTATTTATGATACGCTTATTAATAAATCTGTTTTTATTTTCATTAGACTCACGTAATCGGAAACCATTTGAAACAGTTAACAGTCATAAAAAATAGAAACGAAAAAGCTAAAAATGCATGCATAAATAGTTCGTATATCAAATCAAATCAGATCCTCGGGTAACCTGTACATTACTACTATTAATATACTAACTATAAATAGATCTGCAAAATGGCGAAAAGCAGAATCTAAACCTAAAGCTATTTACGGAATTTACAAGCCAAGATCGCTTAAATGACGCAATGTCTTGTGATTCTCTGACTCTTGGAGGTAACGCATTCCAAAGTTTGCTGGCTAAAAATGTAAAGGATCGATGCATAAACTCCAGATTAAAGGGAGGTAGATCTAGCCTTGTGCTAAGCCCACGTAAATTGTACGGTATATCCTTAAAACTAAAAAAAAAAAATTACAGCGGCGCCGCTCTAAAACTGTTCTCGGATTACGTACATCAAAAACGTTTGAGCTGCGACCTTATGGTGTCTTAAAAACGCTCCCGTTAGCGATCACTTCCTTAACGCTCATGGCCACTTTGTTATCACCTGCCCTCCCTCAGTCTTTAAAAGGCCCTCAGATACAAATGAGAATTTTCTAAAAAAAAAAAAATTTACACTGAGTTGTAATTATTTATTGTATCCTAAGTGTTTTTGGGTGACAAACGCACATTTTATCAAGGAGTTTTAAAGCAAAACTCGCCTGTTTATTGAATGGCTTAAATGGCTAAATCCGCGAGAAGGCAACAAGAAGTGAATCCTGTTTTCTGATTGGCTACCGGAGCGGGAGAAATGGACCCATCTCGCCTTCTCCGGATTTCCCGCGTTTGTTCCGCAAAGACAACTTCTCCTCTTCTGCTTCTTGGCCATATAATCAATCCTTTAACGTCCAATCTTGTTCGGTTAATATTGTCGGATATTGGCCTCGTTCCTTTTTGCGTTTCTTTTGATCTCGACTTTTAATTCCTCTCAGTCCATAAAAACGCAGAAAAGAACCTTGCCCGAATATCCAGCCTTCTTGAGCGAACAAGCTAGATAGATAGATAGCGGATACTTTATTGGTATAGACATCACGCCAGAGGATAAATTGACTAAATTACCTATATGCATGTAAAAGATAAAAACTACTAAATTACAGAAAACACTCCCCGCCTTGCGGATACCCCGCTATAACGAACACCCCGATAATACGGACAGCAGCTACATGTCGTGCCCCTGAAAAATATATTAGAGATATTTGACTGATGAAAACTCCCGCTATTAAAGATTCTTGCTAATGAGGACATTAACTCAAGGTCCCTACGGTGTTCGCTATAAAGGGAGTTCATTTGTATGAAGCCGGGTATCTACATATACATAAAATATATAAAATACGAAGAACGTTTTATTAGAAAACTGTTGGCTATTCCATATAGCTAATGAGTTTACGCGGAGGCAGTGGAAACTAGAACAATTCCTGGTCCCGCAAGTTTTTAACTTGACATCAAAGTCCTGGCAAAAGTGATGGAGACGGTGATCTCTGTCCTCTAAGATATTATCGAAAAGGGACTGACATAGGCGCTGATGGTGAACCACTCTGAGTAACTCTACAATCGGCGACAAAATGAGCTGAGACACTTCGCCCTTAACTGGGCTTTTTTACGTTTTACTAACTTCAAAAGGAGGAAATATAGCTTTTCCTCCCCCATCCCCTCCATGCAATGTTGTGCCGATGTTCGAGCTACCTATAGAAAACAACAAACACCCCAACTTTGATTCGGAGGGGACAGGGGAGGGGCGCGGATTCTTTTGTTCTCCTAAGTTACCCTATTTGAGTACAATGTCTCAACAACTTTTTGTCGCTGATTGTAGGTCTAACGAAGCTAGACCGTTGTCGTAGGATAAGGTGGGGCATGTGATGGAGAGGGCCCTCTTTTGTACACGCCCCAAATCGTCGATTAGGTACTGAGGTAACGAAGCGCGAAACACAGGAATCGCGTGATGACAAACAGACCTTACGCAGCTGTTGTAAAACCTACTGAGCAGATCGGCCTTCTCGACATATAAGCACGCTTTAATTTCTAAGAAAATACAAGCGTTTAGATGCTTTCAATAACGTATATATATATCCAAAACACTTAAGAAATGGTAAACGTGCAGCGTGCAACCATGGAGTTATGGATGCACGCGGGAGGTTGCTAAGCACGAAAGAAGCGTAAGAGTCGCACGAGGCGATAGCCGAGTGCGACTCTAGCTGCTTGAGTGCTTAGCAAACCTCCCAAGTGCATCCATAACTCCATGGTTGCACAGCTGCAACGTTTACCATTTCTTTTATAACATAATCAAAAGAGAAAAACATTATTTTCCATTTGCCTTCGGTTGAGTCATCGGTACGAGTTCAAGTATGCTGCCACCTGCCCGCGCGTAAACAAATCATGATCTATGTTTTTCAAAAACTTGCCTTTGAGTTTTTCTTTCGCTGAATCAACCGTTCTCCGTCTTCAGG